AGTCAAATCTTTGCAAACCAACACTTGGAAAGAAACAAAGCTTTTGAACAGAGTAAAGCATGTGAATAATTCATTTACTGTAATGACAATGCGTAGAGATGCAATTTGACCAGCACGTTATTTTCCTTTCTTGAACGCAGCTTTTTCCAGCTAGTTGGATGCAGCACGTCTTTTGTTCTCTCCAGGATGACGCGATTTAGTATTTTCTACTAAGCGTGAACAAAAGCATTATTCCACGCAAGTTCTTGTACAGGTTTAATTCACCCTTCTTTGGCAGTTTGACGACGTAACCTTTCATCCAATCGGTAAGTAACTTTCATTCATCCCAAATCGTTTGCTGTAATGGTGTGACCACGTCTGCCCCAGCCTCTGAGTTCGTCTTCATTGCTTCAGGGCGGGGTAATCCCATCTCGTCCTGCTGCCCTCCTGGACTTCAGTAACTTCAGTATTTATGCTTTCGTTGGAGATAAGCGTCCACTGGTAGGCAGTTCTATGCGTGCTGTTGGTGCTGGCGGTGTATTTCTGAGAGAGTAGCAGGTGGTGGTTGATTCAAGAGTCCTTTAAAGTGATCAGCCCATTGTTTTATTTGTCGTTCCTACTTGGTATTCTGGTTTCCTTATTATTATTATTATTGCTCCCTTGGGTTCCTAGTGGAACATAGGGCTTCAACTGCACGTCTCCATTTTCTTCTGTCTTCTGCTATACTTTTCGCCTGCATCCATGTTAATCCATATTCTTTCAACTCCTCTTCACACGATCTCCTCCATGTCACCCTTGGACGTCCCACACGCCGCTTCCCTTTCGGGTTTCACTCGAGGGCTTGGCGCGCGATGTTACCCAGCGGTCTCCTCAGCGAGTGTCCGATCCATCTCCACTTTCTCCTGCATATTTGTTGGTTGGCGATTGGTTCTTGTTTTGTTTGTCCCATAATTCTTTGTTGGTGATTCTTTCCGGCAATCTGATCTTCAGTATAGAGCCAGCGAAGACAGTTGTTAATAAAGGTCTGCAGCCTTTTGGAAATATTCTTTGTGACCCTCCAAGTTTCTGATCCGTATAGGAGAACTGACTTTACGTTTGTATTGAAAATCCGAATTTTGTTGGTGATGCTGAGTGACGAAGATTTCCAGATTGATTTCAGGCTGATGAATGTGTTTCTCGCCTTCCCGATTCTCGCTCGATTTGACATCCTCGTCCGCTCCTCCTGTAGTTGAGACAATGCTCCCTAGATAAGTGAGTGAAGTAGCCTCTTTCAAATCCCTCCCGTTGATGGTGATTGACGTTGGATGTTGTTGCTGTTGTTGGTTGGTTATTTTCATAACCTCCGTCTTGTCTATGTTCACCTGGAGTCCTGTCTTCGCCGGCTGCTTCTTCGACCAGTTTGTCGGTTTTCGCTTGTAAGTCTTCGATTTTGTGTGACATCAAACATAAATCATCCACGCGCGAAATCCAGGTCTTCTAGGTTCTTCACGTCGGTCCAGGATATTCCTGTCTTCTCGTTTCCCACAGTCTGACGCATAATCCAGTCCACCACAATTAGGAATATCATTGGTGATAGTAAGCACCCTTGTCTGACTCCTGTGTTTACTCCAAACTCCTCGCTGAGTTTTCCGTAGTGGATCACTTGGCAGGTGCCGTTGTAGTACAGCTGTTGAATAAGCTTGATGAATATTTGGGGTACGCCATAGTACTCGAGTAATTTCCAAATTACTTCACGATCAACGCTATCGAAGGCCTTCTCAAAGTCTATAAAGTTGAGGTATAGGTTTGATTGCCATTCCATGCTTTGTTCGATGATGATGCGTAGAGTTGCAATTTGGTCAGTACATGATTTGCCTTTCCTGAATCCAGCTTGTTCTGGTCGGAGTTCTGTCTCCAGTGCGTCCTTTAATCTCTCCAGGATGATGCGACTCAGGATTTTACTTGGCGTCGATAGGAGCATGATTCCTCGCCAGTTCTTGCAGAGTCCTAAGTCGCCCTTCTTTGGTAGTTTCACGAGGTAACCTTTCCTCCAGTCAGTAGGCATCTTTCCCTCCTTCCAGACCTTTTTCAATGGAGTCAGCATGTGGTTTCCTTGGATATCTTTTATTGGTTTCATCATCTGAGTTGATCTCTCCCCGGATAGCAAGTGAACTGGTTATCTGATATAGCGTCATGAGGCCTATTTTGCCTGAGGCCTGTTCTGTTTCAGTTGACAGTGTGTCGTAGAATTGTATTTTGTCTTTCCTAGCACTCTTCTTCACTTTTTAATTCAGGGCAGTGTACATTGAATTCAGCTTCTCATTCTGCCGTCCATCTCTGCATTGAGTCATCACCATTCTCTTTCATTATCCTCTTTTCCTCTCCTCGATTAGCTTCCGGGTAGGTGTCCGTTGAGAACCATTCCTCGTTTTGTCTGGTCTCTTGCTTCTTCCTAGAACGATTGTAACGTTTCCTTAAATATTGGTTTCAGAGAGTTCCGATGTTCTTCCACATGGGTTTCCTCAGTGATGCCACATAGTGTCTTCGACTTTGCTCTGATATCTGTAGCGAAGGCATCTCTTATAGTTTTACCCTTCAGTTCCTGAATGTTAAACTTGGATTACACTGGCCTGCCTCCATTTGTTTTGAGGGATTTCACCTTGAAAGTCTCCTGAAGAAGATGATAGTCCGAGCCTACATCTGCTTCCGTTCTCGAATTTGTGTCCACCAGGCTGCGTCTCCACTTCCTTGAGATTAAGATAAAATCTGTCTGGTCTGTGGTGTGTCCGTTAGACGAAATCCATGTTGCCTTGTGTATAACGTTGTGTTTGTAAACACTGAGTCAGATCACCAAATAATTGAAGGCACAGAAGCATGAGAAGAGTTATTCATCTTCATTCATTTCTCCGAGAGCCTCTCGACCCACGATGAGTCCTCTTCTGTATTTTCTGCTCCCAGTTCAGCTGGAATTCATGTTGCCAATAAGGATTTTGATGTTGCCACTTGGGATTCTCTCCATTACTGCTTACAGCTGTCGATAGAAATCTTCCTTCTTCTCTTCTTTCGAGTTGTTTGTAGGTGCGTAGCACTGAATGATTACAGCTCCCCTCCCGTCCTTTTGAGTTGAATATTGCTGTCATGATCCTGAATGAAACTGGTCCCCACTGCATTAGAGCGTTGGCTGCTATTGATGACATCATGGTAGCCACTCTCTCAGTGTGCTCTTGATTGTCATTTGTGTGACTGGAGTAGATTACTGAATTACCAGCTGACAATTTCGACATTTCACATCCATTTCATCTGCTGTCGCAGATTCTCAACACTGCTATTCCATATCTTCTCATTTCTTTAGCGACCTGGGCAGTCTTCCCAGTCAGCTTCGTAAACTGTACGAACATTTCACATCCCTACTGCTATTTTTGCATTCGTCAAAACAAGACACATCAGGTGACTGGCTTCACCAAGGCTTTCACCAGCCCGCTGTGTCATTTCGCCTCTCCGCTTCCAGCTAGGAATAAGATAGTTTTTTATTTATTTTGAATTTTTTAATATTTCTCCTATGCGATGAAGTTTCTGTTTGATTGACTTTCCAAGGTAGCGTCGCTAGTCCGACGCTCAGCTCTCCTTCTTTTCCTGCGCTTGGGACCGGCTAACAAACTAGGTGAGGTTGGCTTAGCCGTTTAATACTCGACAGTTACTCAGGCGATCCAGGTACAAATTACAGCGAATGCACGCCTACACACCTCATCTTATTCTATAACTGATAGTAGGCCCAGGAGAAAGAGGGTAGGTCGGGAATGAAGCTAGCTTGTAAAGGCAACTGAAACCGACAAGCTTGCCGCCCGCTAATTGACTTGAAACGCAACAGAATCAAAAGAACAAACTAACGACACTATATATATATATATATATATATATATATATATATATATATATATATATATATATAGTTTACTTCAGATAAATTACGAAACAATATCCTTTTTGATTACTCGATAGATTTTTGACTTCAAAATAATCCATTTTGCAATCAATTTCATTTCACAATGAAAAAAAAACAAAGACATAAAAAATTTTTGTATAAGTCATTCCATCTAGAAATTGAAAAATCTAAATCATGGATAACCACACATTCTTGCTTTTCAAACAAACAAACAAAGCCATTTTCAACATTCAATATATAAAAGCTTAAAAAACTAATTTAAATCAGTTGAAAACTTTACAATCCAGAATGTATGTGTTTCTTCACCTCACTGAAACTTATTCATTTTTATGTTTCTAAACCTCCAGTGTGACTTGGATTCAGCAAAACTAACGACTTAAATGCCAAGACCAGTGAATCACGAGAGCCATTTCTTGCATAATTAATATTATTACTGTTATATACTTTTATATTAACTCATAAATTCCCGTTGATTGATATGCTATTTGCTAGGTTAGAATGTAACGATAGAAGACAAGGGACAGGAAACAGATCGTTTATTTAGAAATCAAGAGATATTTATAGATTTTTATGTACATTATTGTCAGCGAAGAAGCAACATTCTCTGATTGATTGTTTTCTTGCTGAAAGTTATTCTGTAATGCCTGTGACCGTTTCTCAGAAAGTTAAGCCATATATCTGTGAATCGTATTTTCACACTTTAAGTTTGCTGTGACTGGTTGATGAGTTCCTCAAGGTTGAGCTTTGTTATTGTTTTTCTCTTGACTCCGCTTCGGGACTTGGACACTGACGTAAATTGCTGTCTATAATTTCGGCTTGCGGTCAGCCCTTACCACAAAAATCTCATTGGGAACGTCATTCACCCATCATTCAACGTGGATACAGATTCATCTAGCCGATGAGTCTTTGAAGAGGACAAAGTATTCACCCTGATTTCCACTTACAGACACCAATGATAAAAAATAACATCATGTCAACCATCAGACACTGTTGATCAACCGTACCAGGAGATGACATTGTCAACACAGAAGAATATCCAAGAGAATAATCAATTTCAACAAAAAAAAGCAAAAATAATAAAAGCAAGGGTATAACTTACTCTGTGTAGCAGATTATTAGCATGTTTATGTTGTTCTGTTGTTGTACGCAGTCGATGTATCTCCTCTTCAGCTGATTTAATTCGGCGTTCCAAGACAACTTTATCAGCATCTTTAATACTTGATTCTTTTAAGGCATCATCTAATTGTTTCGACAGACGTTGATTACTTTGATTTAATTGGTTAATCCTGAATAGTAAGGACGATAAGAAAATCGGGATTAGTAACAGTAGTAATAATAATAGAGCAATACTATTATTGTTCCAAGTGGGACATAAGGTTTCAACTAAACATCTCCCTCCATATTATTATGTTCTCCAGTGTCGTCTTCACCTGCCTAACCTCACGATTGACCATGATCTCTCATTTCCTTTTCCTTCTCGACACAGCATCTACTCCATGTCACCCTCCCACCGACGACCCATTTGTCGCTTCCGATTCAGATTCCGCCAGAGAAAGAAATGGAAATGAGTAGGAAATACCCTGAGGAAACTGTTGATTGATATCACGCGCCAAACCCCCAAATAGAGCCTGGATAAGAAACGATGAATTGTTCACGGAGTTAAGGGTGACGTGGAGGAGATCTTCAGTAGAGGAAAAAATGCAAGGTTATAGGCGATCGTGGAGTTAGCTAAAGGTGACTACAGAAAACACAATCAAATGGAGAAGGGCTCTGGCATCCAAGGGAATAATTATAATCAACATAACAGTTCGTTATATTGCACGGAAATTAATAATTTTCAAAATAATTGTTGCAATTTGTTGACAGGAAACTAACATTCACCTGAAAGTCTGTTAAATTTCACTTCAATAATGTAACCCCACAGTACAGTGTCAAAAAGGAATACTTAATACTCCGTCCTACGTGTTCTGGAAATGACATCCAATCGATAAATCGTAGAATGATAATTGTTTTGTTAGCACGAAGTTACCCAGAAGAGATTTTATGTTTCAAGCTAAGAGTTACAGTTGTCAAGACTAACGACCTGCCTAGGCTGAAGTAGGTGGGGGAAAGACTTGAACTCGAAACCCGTTGGCTGAAAGTCGAATGCTTAAGTTAGTAAGCCACACCTCTATGGTATGATGGTTAACAGTAGTGAATAGAGTTCAAGCCAGTGGTCTTGTTGTAGTCTGTCATCGAGTAATCTAACAAATCTTAATGTGCTCTATCACCACTCCTAATTTAAAGATAGGGAGGGAATTGGTCAAGTGTGTTGATCACTTCATTTATTTAGGAATTTTCATCATTTCTAATTGACTTGTCGCTGAAGAAATCTCAGAACGGATAAAAAAGCTCATGTGGCACTTGCCAACTTATTTCATCTCCCGTGTAGACATGATATCCGGCTGGCTATTAATCGAACGACATGTGTACTGTTAGACATGACCTTTGAAAGTGGAAGATATGAAAAGATCTTTGATCAGAGACGTTTGCGTTAAATAATGTGATAGGTTGATTAATACTGAGGTCAAGAATAGGGTGTTAGGCAGGTTACATTGACTGAGACGGCTATAACATGTGTCACAAATGACAAGTCATCGACTTTCTCGACGATCAATATTAGCCGACATAGAATTAACTTGGAAATGAGTTAGGGGTCATCAAACCAAAACCCTTCAAAAAATCCATGGAAAAAGTAACATTTAGTTTGAGCCACATTGAAGAAGTGTAGACTGACTGGTTAACGTCCTTAAGATGCTAAGAACTAATGCCTGAAGAGTATTGCTCTCAGAAGTTCACAGATGCATTCATTCTTTTGGGTCAGCTATATCAATTAAAATCGCAAATTTTTTTCGCTATGTATCTATTCTTCCTTCCAACACATTTCTGCTCATTAGAGTTCCTCTAAATCGGTTTTTCTTCTCTCTCTCTTTCCGTCTGCCATTATGTGGTACAGGTGGTGTAGTGACTTGAACCACTGCACTTCTCCGCTTAGTTTGTGATGAGAGCTGTCTACTAACCAAAATTGGTAGACAGCAGTTTACATCAATGTTTACTTCCCAAATCTTGGTAATGAGAAAAACATGAACAAAGACTTTGCGTGGGCGGATACGATTTGCAGATATATGGTCTGACCATCAAAGATACGCCCACAAAAAGATGACAGACGATGACTATCAGAGAGAAAACAACCAATCAGAAGACGCTGTTTCTCTGCCAATAATAACGAATAATAATGTACATAGAAATCTATAGATATCTGGTGATTTTCTCAATAAACGATCTGTTGCCTGGCCTTTGTCTTCTGTCGTTACAATAGTATTCCGGACTGAATAGTTATCAGAAAATAAAACAAATGGCTAGTTATTATTATGACTGCTAGTTTACTGGATTATACAAATATGAAACCAATTGACATATTTGCATTTATTCTCGGCGTTTTATTGAACTCAGCTAATTTAGTCACAACCTTTTACATGCATATGTCCATTAAGAGAATATAAATTGACCTACAGTTGTGAGAGCATATGAATGAGAATATATCATACATACAGAGTTATTCCAAGGCGTCCTTATGAATACCAAAAACTATGCAAAATTAGCCATTAACTCTTCCCACCAAATACGTGGTTGATCTAAGTAACTCACAGTCTATAGACAATTCAATCACGTTCCCAATGGAACATAGGGCTTCAAGCTAGTGACTTGAAGTTTCTGTAGCAGCGTTTATTTTTACAGGATGGGATCTCTAGCCTCATGCCCAACCTTTCCTTTTTACTAGCTTTATTACTGGCTTAGAGAGGTAAAAGAGTGAATCCAGTGGCCAGGGATCGGATTCCGGAACAGGTGCATGTTCGGCGAGTGTCCTAACCGCTGTGCCACCGACGCACCATTAAGCAACTAAGTCATTCGAAAACTATTCACCGACAATTGTCGATATTCAAGTTTTGGTTTGACTGATTTTAAATTTGACCACATAATGGGAACCATTGAAAACTAGGGCATACTTGATCAGTCTTTTTCCTTATTTGAGACCGTTCATCAGTACGCATCTATGACCCCACAGCAAAGAACCATTACCAAGAGCTTCAGGTTACAACCCTAGCTCATATACCATTCAGCCACTGGGACCAAATCAAATGACTCATCAGTTCACAATATACCGTGAAACAATCAGCCAATGTTATATGTGAATATTTAGGTGGGTACTACTGAAGAGTCCCAAAGAAACATGAATCAGCTATCGAGTAAACCCTGGTGGTTTTTATTGATTCTCTAACTTACACCATTTCATGATCAATCATAAAAAAATTACCTGCAAAACTGAAAAATTTCTACTAATTTCAAACCAAAGTTAAGAGTGATGATTGAATTCTGTTGATCAATCGATTGAGCAAGTGATCAATTGAGCGGTGGTGAACGAACTGAATTATCCGACCAATTCAAACTATCTGACAGAAGATTTCAATCGTTTCTTTTTTTATTTTCATGTTATTTTGATTAAGTTCGTTCCAAATTTACTGTATATGTGCATACATGTAAGCAACGATTGTAAGACTTTGTTTAAACAAACAAACTATCATTGAATAATAGATTCAGTGTGTTCAATGATAATTGGAAATACTGCGAATGCAAACACAACACACAAACACATTTAAGGACATTTAAAAAATGCTAATTATTGATAGATTAACGTCATGTGTTAGTCATACTTTTGACATGGTATAGAGAAGAAAGAGGATTTACGGGTTACTTTTAATGCATTGAGTTCAACTGATTGATGAGTAGAGATGATCAAATGAAGTTTGGGAAGTTTGATGAAGCAAGGAAAGACTTTCTTCTATTTAAATGCATCAATTAATTATTCGTATTATCAGTGAATTATAATCTACTGTGTCAGGGTTCTTAAACAATTTTACTTTCTGTGCTAAATGAGCATTCCATCTTTCCACTAACATTTATATCATTTGTTTCATTGTGTAAAGCTGCTGAGATTAAAAAAGCTTGAAAGGTATCTGAGAATAAGCTGTACACTGACCCTGGACACACAAACAAGACTAAGGTCTTGGTTATGGGAGTAATAGTAGGTATTTAGTTATGTACAGTTTTGATCATGCAATGATATTAGTTAGAGAACTATTGGAAAATCAGAGAGTAATGGACGACCGTCTTGTCCCACTTTGGCGCTCTTCAATAATGCGCACCCCTTGGAGTTTGTGACTGGGACCTTCCGGTTACAAGGCTAACTCGTAGACCCTTCGGCCTCCAGGACCTAATTTCATGGCCAGCCCATGAATTCCACATTCTGCCAGTTCTTTCTATAAATAGAGCGAGTGCCGTTCTCTTACCTGACTTGTTCGGCCCCAATGGTTACGACCTCTCACGAGAATTCCAGTCAACTTGCTATATAAAGACAGTCGCCGATGTGCATCAAATCTCTGCAAACCAATACTTAGCATTTAGTTATGTCTAACCTCCACTGTATTATAATATACAAACAAACAATTAAATGGGGCGCAATGGGATCACGAATATCCATAATAGTAGCAGACTAATCTAGGGAAAGTTAGAAACATAAAGCTTTTAAAGTGTTTGCACCTGCTCCTAGGGTTATGCTAGGGACATGCGGACGACACATTCACCGTATTGAAATCTGAACATATTCTAAAGTTCCCCAAATATATAAATTCATTAATAAATCGAATCCCATTCGTTTTTCAGTAAACAGGATGAATGAGGCATACAGAATTAAAGCATGATAGTGGGTTAGATACTAACTAACATCTATAGAAAAAGGTTATATTCTCACAGGTGTGTGTATTTGTGTGTGTGCACTCATGATATCGCAGTGATAATGTTACCCGACACGATGATAGAACATCCGACAACAAACATCAATGCTCAGGCGTTACAGATTAATCAGATTCAATAAAGATTAGAAGCTACAAAATATGTAATATGTGGGCCGTGATCAAACTGTGTTAAGGCACTTTATAAATGGCCAGCCAACGAAAAGTTCTGTAATGAGGTAGTCATGAGTTTTAAAGTACTCTACATGATCTTAATTGAAACAGTCAAGAAGCCGAACCAAGAGATACTTCTATGATGGGCGTTAAATACGTAAAATATTTGATAAATTTGATTGAATCCTTACTCAGATGAGTATAAGAAAGTACCTTGTAAGTGGTCTAAATTCATACGAAAAAGTACTCAATTCTGTGTAGACTAAGATATTCTATGGGAAATT